AGATAAAGCTGAGCTCTGAAGGAGTTGACAGTGTTCATCGCTGCACCAGAGGTGTTCGGCCACCTCGCAGGGCTGGGTTATCATCTGCTTTATTGTGTGATGTGCGTATTGCTCTGTGCTTGCAGCAGCCCAGGTTTTTGAAATGGGAGCACCTGATGTTCATAACGGCAACGAGAGCGCAAAGCAAATGTCTGAATACCCAAACCTCCGTCTCAGCCAGTGCATGTGCTACTGGAAGCTTTCTCTGTGACGCTGAGTTTAGCTGACAGAAGTATTCTCAGAAACACAAGTTTGTGAGCTCCGTGTGCAGCAGCCACAGAGCCAATATTTTCAACGTGCTGAGAGCAGCTCTGCCACGGCTGCAGTCTTGGCCAAAACACTGGGGTTGAACTGGAACTAAAGCTAAAAGCCCAGTTGACTCCAGTGCAAATTAGAGGTCTTCATTTGAGCTGTAGCAAACACATATTGGCTACGTTATGGAATTAAGGCTTTTAGTACAGGCGGTTATGGAAGCATACAGATATGAACCGGCAAGCTTTGAAATGCCTTCCTGGGGTTCTGTTAGTTCCTGCGACGTAAGCGTTGCTGGTGCAATGGCACTTAGTGTAAGACTTTGCCTAGATGGGATTGACTTTGGAGATAAGTGCATGATGGATGCTAGAGCCGAACTTTTAGTATAAAATAGGCCACATGGTTTTCACAATGGAATAATAAAAGCAATTAAATTTGTAGTGTGCTAATGAGTTAAGCCTGAGATGTTTATAAATTAGGTAATAAAGGCACTTTATACTAAGATGTCCGTGCCAGATATTGGTGAAATCAGGCTGCGACTTTCAAGATATTTGCAAAGTTCATGTTCAACAACGTTGGGCGTTTTTCACATTGTAGAATAGGTGTGATATATTTTTGCTCGTGGAATGAAACATCCAGCTTATATTGCACAGTTTTTAGCCAGTGGATACAGTTTACAAAGGCGTGAGTAAAACTGGACGGTTTGGAGAGGGACTCCTTCTATGGGTTGAAATATCTCGTCTATTGTTTGTTTTGCCATTACCAGCTGAGAAATTGCATTGCTGACTACAAATGCTAGGGAGCTTACCTGATTATAGTAACAAGTAAGTTTAAACTTTGTCTTGCTGCTACCACTCTGAAGATATCTACCGTAATACATTTAATAACTTTCACACTATTATTTATTGTGATGAACTCTGTTGAACTCGCCTATTTTTAATCTAACAGCCAATACACAAATCATCCAGTGCATATTCTGTAGTGGGTTATGAAAAAAAGCCCATCCATTTGATTATATGTTAACTTGGAATGTATATTTTCAGTCCGTGGCATAAAATATTTGAACAGAGAAGAAGGCCCCACTTACTGAATAATATTATCCATTGCAAATTACTTTTTCACCTCTCATCAGCATTATACCTTTATCTCAGAGTGGATTGGAAGGCGGGTATTAATATTCAAAACCAACACAGGGCATTAGATATTACATAGCACTGTACAGAAGATCCAGAAATAGATGATTTACTTTAAAGGGGATAATCAAAGAAAGCTAATCAAAAAGCTAATCAAAAAGAATATTTAAAGTTGCCTTGATCATGATCCATAGGTACATATACAGGGAGAAGATAACAAGTACTGAAGGATCTTTAAGCTTTCAGAGATGAATGCATAATATAAGTTGCCGAAAGTTTGGACTGGACAAGTAAGATCCCAGATTGTAAATTGGGGGAGAAACAGGGGACAACCATGCAACAAATCATCTATTAGATGGATTATGGTAAATATTCTATTATTAAACTATTTAAATGGGGATTGGGTAACTTTCTCAAAACCAGTCTCTGCTTTCCTCTTTTGGGACCAATGTAGGGAGGTAAAGGTGCAATTCTGCGGTGTTTTTATGGAGGAATTCAGATAATTCATCAATATGAGCCCATCTGGCCTTAAAAACCTGACAGTAGAAACCTTGCAGTGTGCCTAAGAGGAGGTACACAGTCACATGGAACAGATTACTGCTGAAGAAGGAGAAATATGTAAAAGTTACTAATGACGAGGGAGCGATTTGAAGATGTTTTAAGAAGAGTGTTGAAGAAAGAGGACTTCTGGCAGTTCATGTCAGGGATGGAAGAAGTTCAAAGGAAAGTATAAAACCAAAATCAGGAGAAGAAAACCAAAGGAGATACAAGATAAAGCCTGCTCTGAGCATGAGGAATAGATCAGGAGAGAAAAAACCCAGTGATTTAGAAGTAGGATAAATAATAAAGAGCTTTGCAGATATGAATTAAGGGCCCGATTTTTTTACAGTAAAGACGTCAGCTGAAGGATTCGAGTGGTCTATACAATGTTTTGAAGCCATGAAAGAAGTAGAAGACAGGCTGTGAGGAGGAAAAGCCTTTTCCAGCAGTTAAAAGAACCACGAACAGAAGAAACAAAAGTAGTCAATGCCACACCGGAAGATTATATACATGACCTGCTGATCAAAGCAAAGAGTGACATATCTAATCTAAAAATCTTTCTTCACAGAAGTAAAAAAAAAAATCATCCTGTTCACCATCTATTCCCTTCCTCCTCAGAAAATTTTGCTCACGGTTGTGAGCCAACGCTAGCGAGTTCTGGGGCAGAGGAGTAGTTAGCAAGAAAAGCGTGCATCAATAGCTGTTGCTTTGGTTACAAAGGCACATGAGCATGTATAGTCGTGACAAGTTATTTTCAGCTTTACACCGTGAAATAGAGAGAATATTAATAAAAAAGATTATGCTACCTCGGCTTGGTCTCTCCATGGTGGAAAGTCCCAGTGCAGTGTCACTCGCTACATCATCCTGCATAATTGTTGCTGTGTGCTCTAATGACATTGAAGTCACCCCCGATGCTGAGTGCACAGAACTCATCAGCTCGGAAGGAAAAGGTTGTTATTGGTGCTGAGGATATATCTTCATGAACAGCGTTTCTTAAGTGCTAGCTATTAACTTGAGTGGGAGCAGTACTGGGCACCCAGCTGCCTCTACTGTGTGCGTGTCAGCATATAGATACCGCTGAATCCTTAGCCCAGCCCACGCTAAGGCATACGCACAAAAGGCACAAAATTGCAGAGCAATCGCTGTCTCCCAGTGAAAATCAAGCACGGTGGGGGATCAGACAAATGGTTCGATCTCTACTGATATTTCAAAGCTTCTGCAGGCAAAGATGACAGCAACTCAGGTTCAGGAGAAAGGCAGAGAAGAAGTGGGAATGGGGCACAAACAGCATGGTGGTGCCTCTTGGTACTACGGGGGTCCGAGGAAGCCCACGGGAGACCTCTCCGTCAGGAAGAGAAATGAGCTGTGAGCCCTGGAGCGAAGCAGAGGTGAACCAGAGTCCTACCACTGCCAAAATCTTTTGGCCTTTGCTATCTAGAAGGTGATGGTAATGGCTGGAAGCGATTCAGTAGCCCCACTTCTGTTCTGGTTCATTCCCACCGTAGCCCAAGCACAGCTTCTGGTTTAGACACCATGAGGAGGCACCATGATGAATCTTGTCCTTCAGGCCACTTTTTCGGCCCTGTTACATAGTAGGGCAGTCTGAACCCCTGGGGGAGAGGACAGCTATGACAGGTCCTCCTTTAAAGGTTTATTCTTTGAAGCTTCCTGTCCATGACATCAAGAAAGGAAGTCAATGGATACCGGTGTTAAGAGACAAAAAAAGACATTCCATTCGAAAAATGACCCCTTCATAAAACCTGTTTGTGAACTCAAGATTTTAAATGAATCTGACCCAGTGGGGAAAAAAAATCAAACTGTTCTGTACAGAAGAAATTCTCTGCTGGAAAGCATATAAGAAAGTTCACAGGCACTGCAAACACTAGCCCAGTGGGTAATTCTCTGAATAAGATGCACTTTGCACTCACAGCAGTACTGAAATTCAGCAGCTCCCAGGACTGAGATTTATTCCATTTTACCAATAAGAATGCAACTAATAATAGTTTTAAAAAGGAAGAATTTACCATGTGAGCCAAGATAAAAGAACAGATTCTGATCTTTATTACTCTGGCTTATGTCAGACATATTTTGCACCACTTCACATAAAGTACAGGTGTCACAGATGTTCTCACAGAATAATCCCAAAACACATGGGATCAGAATCAGACCCCGAAATTTTATCGCAAGGGCCACGTATTGTTCCTAGTATCATTAAATTCCTTGTACGGACAAGGAGGACCTGAGGGCCAGGTCCATTCTGGGAGGCAGAAGGGTCTTCCAACGCCGGAGGCCCAAGTGCCGTACTCCCTCTGAAATGCACTTTGGTCGCATTGAAACCGAGGGGGTGAAGGCTGGGACTCCGCTGGCGGTGAGAAGCTCCTGTAGCAATAAGCCTCTGCCAGCAAAGGATGTAGCAAAGCATCCATTCCCCTCCAAGTTTATGTGAGAGCTCTCCTCGGAGCAGAAGGGGGTACCCTTAAACTTAAATTTGTGCTGATGTGGCTGAGCAGCCATCTCAAATAAGTATCACTCAGAGAGACGAGTCTCATTGAAGTCAATGGTCTACTCCCCACATAAGTAATCTTTGTAGACTGGGGTCTTACCTAGCCATCCTTCACAGAGCACTTTAGGTTCCTCTGAGACCATTCGTTACAGTCATTTTTTCCTCCCCTTCCGGTTGAAGAGTTTGGAAAGGTGTCAGAGGATTAGTATCATGCAAATTGCAAAAGGGAAGTGTCACTAAGGTAGGAAGACTTCACAAAAAATAGCTTAGGGGACTATGCAGTATCCAGAATTAAATTTTATAGCAGTCCATAAAATTGAAGTATGAGCCAAGGGTTAACAACCTTGAATCTTGCCCTTAAAATTAGTCCAAGAAAATCTGCTTCATTATAAATACGGTAGTACTATATAGTGTCCTGTTGATTGATATGCCCAAGAGCTACCTTTGTCGGCAGTCTTTTAAGCTATAATCCTTCATTTTGGTGTTAATAGTGAGATCGGCACCTCCTTCCTCATTGGGCTATCAATTTTTACCTGCCAATACAGTTTGATGAGCTTGCTTGTATGCTGCTCAGTGCCTCCTGTCAGCCAGTACATATAGTCAGCAATCATGGTGCTCCTGATGACAAAAGCAGAATAAATGAGTGTACAGGGAGAGAAGGATGTATATAGCAATATTTAAAGGAGGTAACATTAAAAGAGTGCAACACGAAGTTTGTATCAAAAGATTACGCATAAGTCTCAGTCTTTGCCCAACTTCAAGACAAGCGCTAGTAAACATTTTTTTAGCCAGCTAAACTATCTGCAAGCAAACAAGCCTACATTTTCTTTTAGTAGCTTTTCCATATTTTACTCTGAGCAAATATTTAATGACTGCCATGCAATATTTTAGTCTGGCTTTTCTTTTTTGCTATGAAGTATTTGTGGGTGAAATATCTTACGTGTAAGTACATTTCTTCTAGGGCAGCGTCAACATGTATAACACCCTGTAGCTTGGCAGTCTGAGAATACCACTTGTCTATGGCAAATTCAGACGCAGTTCACCTTTGATTAACTGTATCTTAAAAAAACCAACCCCAAACTAAAAGTAATCAGCTATCTTGCTACCTAATTGAGTATGCTTTAGTACTCTCACTGTCTGGGACAATCATTGCATTACTCTTTCTAGAGTGAGGGATATTAAAAAACTATTGTGCAATGGATATTAATGCAGAGTCTTAACAGACTTTAGAAAATCAGTTTGCTTTTATGGCTGCCTCTCCACATTGCTCTCCATTTCCTTTCCTCTAGAGATTCCAAATCCAATTAAATGTGACTAGATGTAATTCCAAATTGTCACTTTAGTCAATTAAACATATAATAATCTTGTGTACCTAATTACTAGCACCAAAAGTTTATTTGTTGATGCACTGCTATCAATGTGTACTTCTGCATGTTCCCCTTATCGTTGCCTATATATTAATTGTGCTTTGACATTACTGTAAATTGAATTTGAAATTTCCCCCTAGTTAAAAGTGTCTCACAAACAGGAATCCCAATCCTGTTGTAATACCCTTTCAGAATGTACTTTCCAAGGCTGTATTATGTTCTTAATGAGATATAACCAAAAATACAGGGATTTAACAATAAACATTTCAAAGCAGGCCCAGTATCAGGGGGTAACATATTGTTACAAACAGGAACTAAATCTTCCCTTAGATGTTCTCATACAGCTCCCATTAATTTAACTGGGAGAAAAGCAATTCAGTAGGATCCATGGATTTCTGCATAAGGACTGGATTTAGCCATAAGCTTTATCCAATGCTCATTCACATCATTGGCAAAAATCCTCTTGACTGCACTAGAACAAAGAGCAGTTTCTAATTGAACATCGTTAGCCCAGCCGGCACAGAATGAACAAAGGACAAAATCCTCATTGCCTTGAAAATCATTGGCAAAACTCTCATTGACTCCAAATGGTGCCAGGGTTTAATCCCAGGAATGACATATGGATCCTGTGGCTGAAGCAAAGAAGGTGAGCAAAGCATCCAGCTTTGCCTGTTTGACCTGCCAATGGTGTTGAGGAAAGACCTTCGCTGTGCTCTGAGGCGCAAAAGGGAAATAACCAGGCGGCACAAAATTGGGGGAAGACTTGGAATGAATCTGTCATGTTATTCTGTACCTTTGGTCTACTGGAGGTGGTCTACAAAGCTCCCAGCCCCCATGGCAATGGCAATAGCTAGTCCCCAGCAGCGTATGTGAGTGGTGGTGGCCTCCTGCGGCAACCTCGTGGGAAAGAAGGGGCTTTCCATCTAAATTTAGAGCACCTCTCAAGCACTGAAGCCTTGTCTTTTTTGGAGTCAAAGGACATTTGCAAGTGGTCATTTACAATTTGGGACCCTATAGATATTCGCCCCCCAGCTGCTGTCATTTCAAGGATTAAAAGCGGCAAATCCTTAACCCCGAGCGTCACCCCGCCGCTGCCTGCCGCTGCGGGAGCACTGCCACGGGTGGAATGCAATCAGTCGATACAGAGACCCCCGCGGTGTGCTTTGCCATCCCTACTGCCGGCCGCGGACTGGTGAAGTGAGGATCCATCCCACTGGCAGCACGACACGACCTCCAATTTGTGACCTCCCGCTCCTCGGTGGTAGCCAACGCTTTCTTCTCCCAGCGTGGCACTGCTTGCGAAGGTGGAGATGTGCGCAGCGCCCTGGGCAAACCTGGAATCGGTTCTCAGATGAGTTGCTTCAATTCTTTTTCTGTTTCTCAAGCATCAGCTGTAGAATGCAGAAGATTTTATTTGACTGATTGACTTATTTGGTGTGCGAATCCTCCTGGCGCAATCTTTTGCTAATTCTTTGCAGCGTGCTGAGCGCAACGTCGCGCTGATCGTGGCAGAGGTCTCCAGGCATCGCTGCGCTCCAGACAAACACCTTTCCTCTTTATTCTTCCTTCTTAATTTGTTCTTATTTAAATAATCAGAAGCACACTTACATTTCCAGCATTCGTGTTTAGTTTTTCAATATCTACTTTTATGCCTGCTAGATTTTTCCCGTGCTGCCGTGTATTACATCGGGAATAGCGAGGTACATACCTAAAGCTCCTCTGAGCCTTTCGAGTGCCTCCATCCCAGTTTTACTCCTCAGGTCCTTGGCCATCAGGGATCACACACAGGTCAGGACCGATGCTTGCTACTGTGACCTCGGGGCTTACGAGGGACTGACTTAAAAAATTCCACTTTCAGAAGAAACATGAGCATTAAGGCTCTATGTGTACGGTCTGTGTCCAACGCCAAATGTGCCCAAGTCAGGGAGTTTTCTTTGAAGGCCTCCAAGGCTCAATTCACAGATCCAGAGTGACACATGCAGTAGGGAACTATGAATTTCCAGACGCAGGGACACGGGTGACATTACGCTGCCCGAATATGGTTACAGGGCTGGGCACTGAAAAATATTTAGGGACCTAAGCACTCAGAAACCAAAGGACCGACTGAGATATTTAGGCATGTTAAAAGCCTGGCTCCCTCTGAAGTACATGAAGGCATAAAGCACTGAGCAGGGTTCCTAACTCTCAGTGAGGACCTATCCCCGTGGCCCATAGAAATCCAGGTAACGAAGACTTTCAGTAAGAGACTGATGAGCCTGGGAGACACTCTGAAATGAGACTTAAGTAAAATATTATTTAAGGAAATACTGTTTATGAAATTATTATTCAAGGTCCTCAGCCAGTGACCCAACTCATTCACATCTTTTTCTCCCTCCTTCATCAGGGTGAAAGCCTGTCGCATGCACGTATCTCAAGACACTATACTTGCTTCTGTTTCTTTTTTGATGGCTTCATGTCTAACAGTATTTCAGCAAAGCTGACCAACCTTCCAGTGATATGGCTATCTGGAGGTTTTCTTCTTTATTTGGTGGGCCCTTCTTTATTTTAAAATAGACTCATCTGCGATAATTTTTTACACTGTACAATGCAGTTCTTCCATTTCCTTCAGTGCACTAATGAAGAAGAGAGACATTTGCTTTCCCCAAATTGAGACAAAAATATAAAAAAACTGAGGGATGGAATTCAAACTGTCTGACTCTGAAGCTTCCCTTCTTATGTCTGATGAAATTGGCCAGGGAACAGGTAAAGAAGTTAGAAGGAATAGTCACTCTCACAGGTAACTCAGCAATTCAGATTATTCTTGCCATTTCTCTTTGTGTGTAGACATTAATCTCTTCTTGTTTGGGTTAGCCCAGTATTACTCACACTTTCACCTATACTAAGTACATGCTGTTTGGAAAAAAGTCTGAAAATTAGTTACAGAACCAGCTGTAACCTTCTTTTCTACTTGCACATCGAAAACATTGGCCCAATCTGCAGACCGATAAATACCAAATACAGATCAACAAGGGAATCCATAATGACTAAATTAGCCATCCCTTGTGAATTATAGTCAATTTTATACATAACATTATAGGTGGAATGAAGCATACAAAAGTCTAGGGCATACTGTAGGACTGCATTTTTATTAAAGGTTTATGGGGATAATGTATATCTTGAGAATGAAGCTGAGTTGCTTTGTTGTTCACTGGAACTCCACAGTTGAAAAGAAGCTTTCTGGTGAGTGCAGGAGGGATGGGTGGGATTAATTCCCCTCCCCAACAGGGATTTGGGAAAAGCAGAAAGCAGAAGTCCTTGAAAGAGGAGATTTCCTGATACTGATATTCCCAGAAACAGAATAAGGGACCACTCCCTGCCCTGCTACAATATCAATACTGTATATTAAATGCGATGTGCAATATTATCAGTTGGGATCAGCTGTTACATCACGTGGAGATTTTGGACAAGTAATGCTGGCCAGCAACAGACCTCGCTCTGATTTGTACCTCTGGAGTGACTACGTAAGAGTTCAACTTTGAACCCTCCTGAGCACAAGGAACGTAGGGTACAAAAGAATGGGAAAATAGCTCCCATTTAGAGCATGTAATGCGTTTTTCTGGATGAGATGCCATCTTTTTTTTTTACGGTTTTTAAAGATAGTGGGATTAAACTCACTAAATGGTGAAGAACAAAGATACGTGCATTCTCTTTCTACTTCTGAGACAACCATTTCACTGATTTTCAGAAATATTGGCCTCACATTTACAGAACCATCCACCAGTAATTTGAAATACTTAAAACACGCCCGAGTTTCAGGTGGGCAGCCCACCAAAGAGCTCTGTCTGATACGAGAACTGAAGTAGTTGTGACAACACACCTTCAGGAACACCTTAGGGCACGTCGGAGAAAAATGTGACACTTCCTTCTTTCAAAACATGAGGCTTTATTTTCAAATGGTTTTTTTCCTAGTTGCTAGTTTGGGCCAGTATGAACTTCCATAACATAACCAAACCCATCTGGGTTAATGTGGTAAGCCTGGATCCAAAGGTGTCTCGCAATATCTGCTCAATCTGGCCACTTGGTGGTGCAGAATAATAAGATATATTTCTATACATGCAAGCAAAGAGCACGCCCCGGATCCTAAACTGTCTCCCTCAGCCCATCTCCAGACTTGCACAGGACTTGTAATAAAAGAGTCAAAGGTAGCTTTTGCTGCATGACAGCTGCTGACACTAACAGCCAGTGTACAGCCAAATCCTTCGCAGCAGCCAC